TTGCGTTTTGACGATATGGAATCATGCCGTCACGCCATGGTCGGGACATCAACACCGCGAATCAACATTACGGTTGCACCCGCATAATCTTGAATCTCACCATAACACCATGTCTGGTACGTTCATCACGGGAATCCGCGAAGCCCTTGCAAATGTTGTAGACGAAGGCGCGCGGCGCTAAAGCGAGAGCCACATGTTGAAAATTAATCGCCCTCAAACCGTGCAAGTCTTGCAAACCTTTGGAACGAATGTGCGCGGCGCTGAGGCCAGAACCACATTTTTGAAAACGAACCGCCTTCAATCCGTGAAGCTCTTGTAAAGTTTTAGAACGAATATGCGCGGCACTGACGCGAAAACCACATTTTGAAAAAACGGCCCACCCTCAATCCGTGAAACTTTTGCGAATGTTTACAACGAATGTGCGCGGCGCTAAGGCGAGAGCGACATTTTGAGAACGGCCCGCCTTCAATCCGTGAAACTCGTGCACGTTGGTTCAAAGGGTGTGCGCGGCGCTAAGGCGAGAGCCACATGTTGAAAGGGACCCGCCCTCAATTCCTGAAGTTCTAGCATTGTGTTTGCTTTCTTTTTTAACATATATATATATGTATATATATATATACATATATCGATAAACGAGTGTGCGCGGCGCTGACGCGAACATCACAATTTGAAAACAACGGCCCACCCTCAATCCGTGAACCTCTTGTACATTTTGAAAACGAATGTGCGCGGCGCAAAAAATCAGAACCACATTTTGAAATCGGCCCGCCCTAAATCCTTACAACTATAGCAAATGTTTGAAGCGAATGTGCGAAGCGTTGAGGCGAGACCCACATTTTGAAGACCACCCGCCTCCCATCTGTGAAAGTGCTGTCACGTGTTAAGCTTCAGAGTCATGAATTGTGAGGAAGTCTTAGGCGCAACTCCCGTCCCGTTCTAACAACTGCCAGCGGGTGCGACAGGGAGGAGTTATCTTAAAGGAGAAGGAAAGGAGGAGGAGGAGGAGGAGGAGGAGGAGGGGGAGGAGGAGGAGGAGGAGGAGGAGATGGGGAAAGAGGAGGAGGAGGAGGAGGAGTAGGAGGAGGAGGAGGAGGAGGGGAAAGGGGAAGAGGAGGAGGAGGGGCCAGGAGGGGGGAGGAGAAGAAGGGGGAAGAGGGTGGCGCGCGGCCGATCCTCCCAGCTGCGGGGGGCGTCTGGCCCCTCGGCGCGCACTGGGTGCGTTCGGGCTGCCTCGGTCTGGGGCGAGGGTGAAAAGGGATGGCCGCGATCCGCCAGCCCCGCTTCCCTGTGTGTTCCCCCCCCCTCCTCCTCCTTCTCCTCCTCCTTCCTCTCCTCCTCATCCTACCTCCTCCTCCTCCTCCTCCCCTCTCTCCTCCTCCTCCTATTCCTCCTCCTCCTCCTCCTCCTCCTCCTCCTTCTCCTCCTCCTCCGCCCTGGGCCTGTCCGCGATCCCCTCCTCCGAGCCCGCGGCTGGCCGCGGCCCGCCCCCGGCGGCGCCGCCGCGCCCCCGGCCGCGGCGGCGGCGCCGCTCCCCGGGCGCAGGTGGTCGACAAGGGCACCCTCGGCGGGGTGGCCCCGCCGCCCTCCCCGCGCGCGTGGGCCGGCGCCGCCCCCCGCCAGCCTGCCGCGCAGCTGCTCGGAGGGGAGTCTGGAGGGCAAGAAAAGCCCTTCAGAAAAGGTGCGGTAGTTTCGTGTCGTCTCGACCGTCGGCGACCCCGCCAGCGGCGTTCAACGTTGAACGCCGCGGGCGACCCAGGAGCGGTCGATAGTGTCCGAGCTGACGTTTCGGAGCCGCCCACTCGTTCAAGGTCGAACGATCCCCGTGGTGTCAAGGACCAGCGCCGAAGTCGGCACGACACGAACCTGACGTACAGTGGAAGCTGGGTCGAGAAGCAGCATGCTTGCCTCCAGGGTGCCCCGGGTCTCCTGGGGTTCGGTGGTTCTGCGATGGAAGGCGTGACATCCCCATACCGAAAGCAACGGACGTCCTGGGGCTTCGGGGTTTGAGTTTCTTGTGGAAGGTGTCTTGAGGTCGTGCTCCCACTGTACCCGTACCGCTACCATTCGCCCGTCTTCTCTTCTGTTCCTCTTGGGGTGTTCTTGGCATCGCTGGGACGTGTGCATTTTTCCGTCGGCGAGGACCATCTCGAGGAGCATCCTTGATCATCTGACGAAAAAGCCACGCACGAAACCGAACAGAGCACAGGGAACGGACGTCCGAGCGATGGTCAGTGCTCGGATCGCCCCGAAGGGCCGACGGAGAGCCGGGTGATGACCCGAGTTGAGCAAGGGGGCATCCATTTGATTATGACTGGTTACTCCGGATTGCATAACAAAGTGGGGGGGGTCACATTCGGGGGGGGTCTAATTTGAGCTGTCTTGCAGGGTTCGGGGGGGCTTGGGCAAAGGGCCGCCCTTGCATGGATAGTCTTGGGGTGTCTAAAACTTCTTGTCTGGGAGGGTTGTGACCCCCTCCCTTTTATTACGAAATCTGGAGTACACTGTGCCCCACCTCCGAACCTGTCTTCTCCTCCGCCACCAGCCTCGCCCCATCCCCCCTGTCTCACGCTGTCACCCCTCTCCTCGCGCTCCCGCCCTCGACTCGGCAGTGTCCCTCTCCCCCCCTTTCGTCCCTCTGCTCTTTCCCCTCCCTTTTCCCCTTCTCCCTCTCCTCCCTCTCCTTTCTCTCTTTCCCTCTCCCCCCTTCGTCCCTCTGCTCTTTCCCTCTCCTCCCTCTCCTCTCTGTCCCTCTCCCCCCCTTTCTCTCTTTCCCTCTCCTCCCTCTCCCCCCCTTCGTCCCTCTGCTCTTTCCCCTCCCTTTCCCCTTCTCCCTCCCCTCCCTCCCTTTCCGTTGCCCTCCTCCACCGTGCGGCGCCAAGCCGGTGGCCGCCATTGCTCCTGCCGTTGTTGGGGCCCGTCGGCCAGTTAGTATATGCCCGTGCCGCGCCTTCACAAAGACAGCCGGCAGGGCGAAGCGTGCACGTCATGCAGACAGGTTGTGGGCAGCGGAGGAAGGGGGCATTGTTTTTGCAAGGAGGAACAAAAACGCGCACCTCGGAGCGCGCAATGTGTGCGCACACGTTTGAGGTCTTCCGGGCCACGTGAGGCTCGGAGGTCAAATTCTGTTTTCGCCCTGGTCCGAAATCTGGCTTAATCCAGTTAACCCGCTGAATCCGGCTTAATCCCGCTTCATGCCGCATAACCCGGCTCAATCCTGCTTGGTCCGAGGCCCACTCCGGCGTAGCAGCTCCCAAAATGGGGCTCAATCCTCCTTCATCTTTCCGACGACAACCTCCCAGTAGTTGCCTCCTAACTTGGAGGTTGATAGACCTCCTATCCTGACACGTCGATTAAGGAATTGGCCGTTTTCGGTTCGCGAGAGGGCGTCGCGGCAGTCATTTTTGCGGGTCCAGGTCCGTCGGTTTCGGTCCCAGGCCGTTTTCACTAAGGGGAGGTCTACTAAAGGGAGGTTTGTCCACCGCCGAGAGGCGTTCTAACAAAGGGCCCTGCCCTCGAGGATCGAAGGAGTGGTGCTCTCTTCCTCGGCGGACGGGCGGCGGAAGGCAAGCGAGAGGCCGCCTCCGCCGGCGGAGGGCCGGCGGCAGGCGGCGGAAGTGACCAAGAACGGTCCTTGGCGATGATTCGGGCCGGGCGAAAGGGGGGGGTTGGGAAGGGGGGGAATATGACATTCGCGAGAGGGTGATTGGGATTGGGATTGGAGAGAGGGGAGAGAGGGGGAGAAGGGGGAGAGGGGGATTGGGATTGGGTGAGGGCGGGACGGAAGTGACGAAGAACGCTTCGTAGTGATGACTCGGGCCGGACGAAAGGGGGGGATTGGGACACGGGGGAGTGCAGTGCCGTTTTTAATACATGCTCCGCGTGCGGATCATGTACTAAAAATGCAGGGCTTTAGTATTAAAAACAACGATGAGTTCATGCATGCATGTATTCATACATTGATCACGCATAAAAAATCTTACATTTTTCAATTCCTATGTATTAAAAACTGCCCTGTACGAAATCTGTTGTATGCAGCGTGTTTCGGCCTCACCGAGGGGCCCATTCCTCGATACATAGCCGCCTCCGGCGCCGGGAGGCGCCAGGAGAATCAGCTAGGTGGGCCGATTCTCAAACCCCCCCTTTGCTATCCCCCTCTTTCGCCCGACCCGAATGACAGTATTTTGGGGTTCAGGGTTTCTGGAATCGGCCACATCTTGGACGTTCCCGGGTAATGCCCGCCGATATTGTCGGCGTGGTGCTCTCCAGGATGGCCCCGGGGCCGTCCTGGATTGGCCGGGGGCGGAACATCTGGGAGCGGAGCATCCGAAATGCTTGGTTGGTAGGCTGTCGAAGTTGTCGAAGATGCCTTTGTCGAGTCATCGCCGCCCATTGCCCGTTCGGTAATTCGAGGCACTGGTGATTGATAGGTTGATATACCGAAGAAGGAACAGCGGTATAAACATCAACCTGTGGCGCTCCGCGCGGATATTTTGGATCCGCGCTGGGCACCACCCGGCGGCACCTCCGGCGCCGCCCTTGCATGGCGCGCTCCGCGCGCTAGGGAGGGCGGTCTAGCGCAGATCCAAGAGATCCGCGCGGAGCGCCACCCAAAGTTTCTGTTTATATGCAGCTGGTTCTTCTTTCCATATTGGGTGGGAAATCTTTTCGATCTGAGTTTTGAATCGGCCGTCCTGGGGCTGTCATGGAGCTCTTTCGGCCTCCTTGAACCTCCCGGGGGGGGCCTCTTGGACCCTTGTGGGTCATCTTTGGGGCCCCTGTTGGGTGTGGCCCAACTTCCAAGATCAGCAATCAGACGTTGTAGGGAGCCTTTGTCATTGTTAGGCGAACTTGCTCGGCACATGCATCCTTCTGTGCGTCGCCGTCTTTGCTCAGGCCGTGCTGGCTCACGGCGTCGCTGCTGGATCGAGGCGTGTGCCACGCGCTCCCGAGAGCGGCCTGCCGTTCATTGAAGCACCTCCTGCCGCCGATCCTGCGAAGCCATGTTCCGCCTGTGCGGCGTCCTCCTGGCGCTCATGCCGATCGCCAGCGCAGCCGGCCCGGACTACGCCGACGAGCTGCGCGACATGAAGAGCGCCATGGAGGCAGTGCGGGCAGACACCGAGGACGCGTGGAGGCCGCAACGGGCGCGCAAGGGTGCGCTGCAGAAGCAAGCGGCGCCCGTGAGCACCGAGAACAGCAAGAGGGCCTCGCTCCTGCTGGAGGCGCTGCGCCCCGGCGCGCTGGACAAGAAGCTCCTCGGCGCGGCCGACCGGGTCAAGGAGGACATGGCCGCCACGCTCGGAGAGGTGCCGTCCTGGGAGCGCACGAGGCCCAAGCGCGCGGCGCTGGCGGCGGAGTCGCACCTGCAGGATCGGATCGGGGGGAACATACGACTCGAGTACGCAGGGACTGAGGTTTGCCGACGCTTTTTGCTGAGCGCGTCCTGGATTTTTGACGGTTCAGTTTTCGTGGGACGTCTGTAGCGGGAGCCCGCGTCAAATTTCAGATCTGGGTCTCGTCGTTCTCTTTACGGCCCCGTCAGGCCTCCCCGAGTCACCCGGACCCGAGTCCTACGTTTCCCCGACAGGAGTCGGGCCAGATGCGCGCAGCACGGTGCTCCCGCAGGAGGCACCCGTGCACCGCCACCGCGCCTCGCAGGGGGCGGCCCCGAGCCCCCCGGGGATGGTCGGGATGGTGTCCCCTTGGGCTCCTCGTGGCCGCGGCCGGGAGGGCGCACGCACCATGCCAGGGCACGGGATGGCCTCGGCCAGGCATGGTGGTGGTGTGCGGGATGCCTTGTTGTCGGGTGTTGCTGGAAGTGCCCCTGTCCCAAGGTGCCCCCCGGATGTCCAAGGAGGCCCCCACGGCCTCCAGAGCACCCCCCACGAGGCCCAGAGGGCCCCAGGGGCTCCGAGGTTGAGCGAATAGCTGGGGGCACCTCGGGCCAGGGGCACGTTTAGCAACCCCCGATGTTGAGGCACGCGAAGTCCATGCTCGGCCACGCGCGGAGGGGGGCAGGGGGAGGGGGGAGGGCTTCTTAGGAGCACCCTGCTTCTCAGGAGGTTCGGGCCGTGTCTCTAGATGTAAGGCCGGCGCCTAAGAAGCAGCCTCCTTCTAGGATGCCTCCCCTCTCCCCCTGCCCCCTTCCGCGCGCCGCCACATGGTGGTACAGTGTACGGATGCCTTGCTGAGGTTATGATGTTCCAACCTCTTTTAGTTTTGGTCGCCAGACAGAATGTCGAGCACCAAGCAAGTACCGTATCTGGAGGTTTTCACGTGTCGGGCCTTGCGAGGCGATATTCGTTCGACATTGTTTCGATACTTTTTTTTTGGGGGGGGGGGTGCTCATCCTCATTCAGGAACGTCGTCGACTCCCCCGGAAAAGATGGCGAAAACATGGCGAGTGGGGGGGAAGACAGAAACCTAGACAACATGGTAAACTATGGGGAATCCTCGTCTTGGTGCGTATTTATTTGTGTGTCCCTGGGCCCCTTCACTTTCCCCCGTTCAAGGAGGGAGGAGGAGGAGGAGGAGGAGGAGGAGGAGGAGGAGGAGGAGGAGGAGGAGAGGGAGGAGGAGAAGAGGGAGGAGGAGGAGGAGAAGAGGGAGGAGGAGGAGGAGGAGGAGGAGGCGGAGGAGGAGGAGGAGGTGTGTCCCTTGGCCCCCTTGAATCATGTCCGGGATGTGGTCCTCGAGTGCGCGCGAGGAGGACGCCGCGCTTCGCGCGTCGTGGTCCGGGGCGGAGCCCGCCCGAGCGGCGGCCCCCTCCGCCAGCGGGGCGGCGCGAGGGCGCGCGGGGCGCGAGGAGAGGCGCGCACCGCGGGCCGCGATGCGCTAAATACTTTCACAAGGGCTCCCATGAGGGCGCGAAGTTATTCGCGCTTCGCGCTTCGCGGTCCTCGTTCCTTCTCCCCCTCCTCCTCGTCCTCCTTTTCTCCCTTTGGGGGGGCGGCGCGAGAGCGCGAAGTTATTCGCGCTTCGCGCAGCGCGAAGCGCGAACTTAGGAGCCCTTGGGAGAGGCGCGCACCGCGGGCCGCGATGCGCTAAATACTTTCAACATAGGCCATTGGCCTTCTTGGGGTATGTTTGGGGTCCGTTTTCTGTTTCGTGGAGCATCCCCATATGGTGGGACGGGCCCGACGCAACGCTAACGTCGCCGATGCGTCGCTGGTGCACTGCCGATGCATCGCCGATGCGGAGCGATCGTCGTACCCCACCTGCTCGAACCCCATCTAGGAGACCCCTAGATTTGAGTCGGGCCTGTCCCCCTACAGGAGGACTATTCAACACCAGTCAAAAAATAGTATGGTGACTATGTTTTGACTATCTTTGAGCATTTGGGGAGTATTTTTCTGAGTCGTTTTTTAATTCTTCGCCCAAAGACCCCCTGTAGGGGGACAGGCACGACTTAAAGTTAGGTGCCCTAGGGGATCCAATCAAAACCAGTTCCACAGACCCCTCTGGGATCCACCCCGGTTGGTGTTCCATCCCCGATGAGGGTCCGACGGCCACGAAGCCCGAAACATGCCTCGAGAGGCTGGAGACGGCGAGAGCGCTTTCCGCACGCAGGTGCCTCCTGCGGCGGTGGCCTTCAATCAGGTACAGGAGCATGACCATGAAACTACATTTGCCTCCACCACCGCGCATAGTACGATGAACATTTTTCGCGGGGTAGGTCCACGAGCGTGTGACGCTGAACAGAATGTGGCAATGCCGCTCGGGAAACGACACACAATACTGTATGTTCGGGTCGGACGCACGCATCCGAGGATAACACATAGTACAGTAGTATGTGCTTGTGCGTCCCATTGGGCCTGGGGGAAGACGTCGAGGACAGCATAACCCCTTTCTCAATTGGTATTGTGATGACGTGGCCTCACTCAGGTCCCCGTGTTTGCATCAGAGATCAGAACTCTGAGTGGTTGGGTTGGTACATCTACAGAGATGTCACTCTAGTCCTAATGCTTCTTGGCCCTGCAAACTGAAGTCCCCTCCTGAAGGGTCAGGTGTTCCTCTTATGGTTGATCAAACAAGTTTCAGAAGGAGAAGAACACACAGACACAATGAATCATCGATCCCCCCGAAACATTTGGGAGTGATGGGAAATAGGGGGGAAGACAACATCCCCGAACATATGGGAAACTATGGGGCATCCTGTTGCCTGTGCTTATGTGTGTGTGTGTCGTGTGTGTTGTGTGTGTGTGTGTTGTGTGTTGTGTGTGTTGTGTGTGTTGTGTGTGTCGTGTGTTGTGTGTTGTGTGTGTGTTGTTGTGTGTGTTGTGTGTGCTGTGTGTGTGTTCTGTGCGTTGTGTGTGTTGTGGATGTGTTGTGTGTGTGTTGTGTGTTGTGTTTTGTGTGTGTGTGTTGTGTGCTGTGTGTGTTGTGTGTGTTGTGTGTGTTGTGTGTTGTGTGTTGTGTGTTGTGTGTGTGTGTTGTGTGTGTTGTGTGTGGTGTGTGTGTGGTGTGTGTGGTGTGTGTGTGTGGTGTGTGTGGTGTGTGTGGTGTGTGTGGTGTGTGTGGTGTGTGTGGTGTGTGTGGTGTGTGTGGTGTGTGTGGTGTGTTGTGTGTTGTGTGGTGTGTGTGGTGTGTTGTGTGTTGTGTGTTGTGTGCTGTGTGCTGTGTGGTGTGTGTGGTGTGGTACTTCGCGGAGCACGGGTACTTCGCAGGTACTTCGCGGAGCACGGGCTGCAGCACGTGGCCCAGATGCTCGGCCTGGCCGCGGCCCGGCAGACCGCCGCCGCCGCCGCGCCCCCAGCGGGCGCGCCGCGCCCCGGGCAGGGCCACCGCGGCGGCGTCCGCGGCGACCCCCTGGCGGCGAGGAGCCGCCGCGCGCGGGACGGGCGCGCCCTCGAGGAGGAGGAGGACGAGGAGGAAAAGGAGGAGGAGGAGGTGGGAGGAAGAGGAGAGGAGGAGGAGGAGGAGGAAGAGGAGGAGGAGGAGGAGGAGGAGAGAGAGGTAGGAGGAGGAAGGAGGAGGAGGGAGGAGGAGGAGGAGGGGAGGAGGGAGGAGGAGGAGTCCTTCGGCGCGCGCCTCTCGGCTCGGCTCGAGCCCTCCTCCTCCGCCTCCTCTCCCAGGGGGGGGGGGGGGCGGCGCGGGAGCGGAGCGGTCTGCGCTCCGAGCTCGCGCGGCGCGGAGCGCACTGTTTTCGGCGCCCCATGCACGATGGGGTCCGCGCGGGTGGGGGTTTCGAAGGCCTGCCTCGGTCCGAGGCACCCACCCTCTCCCTCCTCATCCTCCCCCTCTCCTCCTCCCTCCACTCTCCTCCTCTCCTCTCCCCTCCGCCCCCCTCCCCTCCTCCTCTCTCCTCCTCCTCCTCCTCCTCCTCCTCCTTCCTCCTCTCCTCCTCCCTCTCCTTAGCCCTCATCCTCCTCCTCCTCCTCCTCCCTCCTCCATCTCATCCTCCTCCTCTCCTCCTCATTACCTCCTCCTCCTCCTCCATCTCCTCCTCCTCCTCCTCCTCCTCCTCCTCCTGGCCCCTCTCGTCGGCGCACCCGAGGGGGGAGCGGGGAGGAGAGCGGGTCCGAGCGGGTGGGGTGTCGGTGGTGCGGCTCGATGCGGAGCCCGGGTTTCCTCCACGCTGACGTCGCCGATGGGTCGTTGGAGCACTGCCGAGGCATCGCCGGTGCAACAGGGGGATTTTCGACTAAACATAGTCCAAAACTAATTCAAACGTAGTTTGGGGACTATCTTTGGGGTATTGTTTGGCCTTCTTGGGGTATGTTTGGGGTCTGTTTTCTGTTTCGTCGAAAATCCCCATGATGCGGAGCGATCGTCATACCCCACCTGCTCGAACCCCATCTAGGAGACCTCTAGATTTATGTCGGGCCTGTCCCCCTACAGGGGGATTTTCGACGACAAATAAAAAATACGTTGAACATAGTCTAACAATAATCCAAACGTAGTCTGGGGACTATCTGTTGGGTATTTTGTTGGCCTTCTTGGGGTATTGTTGGGGTCTGTTTTGCTGTTTGGTCGAACACCCCCTTGTAGGGGGGACTTGCCCGACTTAACGCTAACGACGCCGATGCGTCGCTGGTGCACTGCCGATGCATCGCCGATGCGGAGGGATCGTCATACCGTAATACCCCACCTGCTCGAACCCCATCTAGGAGACCTCTAGATTTAAGTCGGGCCTGTCCCCCTACACGGGGATTTTCGACGAAAAATGAACATACGTTAAAAATTATAAAAGGTGATCCAACAAGTGTGGGGACTATCTTTTGGGGGTATGTTTTGACCTTTCTGGGATATGTTTGGCGTATTTTTTGTGTGTTTTTCGTCGAAATTCCCCTGTAGGGGGACAGGCCCGACTTAACGCTAACGTCGCCGATGCGTCGCTGGTGCACTGCCGATGCATCGCCGATGCGGAGCCATCGTCGTACCCCACCTGCTCGAACCCCGTCCTGGAGACCTCCAGGTAGGGGGAGGGGGAGGGCTTCTCAGAAGCATCCCTGCTTCTTGGAAGGCGCGGGCCTTCTCTGTGGATGGAAGGCCGGCGCCGTCTGAGATTCTACGGAGCAGCCTCCTTCTAGGAAGCCTCCTTTCCTCCCCCTGGTC